GTGCCTGTAAATTGCGGATTATGATACCGTTTGGTTCGCCATGATTTTGTTTTTAATTTCTTGAGCGAATTTAGGTAATTTTAGATGACATAAGTTACTGTTCTGTACAAAATTACGATTACAACAAGTCTTGCAGACTTTACCAAAACTACTAATCTGTACAAAAAATGTGAGGACAGCTATTGCTGCATGAACTTTTAAAAATTTTGTCACTACACCAGTGTTGATTGCAGCTTTTTCTGCAGACATTATCAAAAATTAATCCGTATAAAAATGATGATGACAACTATTCTTTCAGGCATTACCAAAGTTACTATTCTGTGCAAAATGATAAGGACCATTATTTCTGAGATTACCAAAATACTAACTTGTACAAAAATAATGTTGACAAATGTTCCTCCAGACTTCACCAAAATAACTAGTTTGTACAAAGATCATGATGACAACTAGATATTACCAAAATTTACAACCTACAAAAACGATGATAACAACTTTTCCAGCAGGCGTTACCAAAATAGATAATCCGTGAAAACATTGATGCCAACTATTCTTGCAGACATTACAAAAAATATTAATCTCGACTTCAAAACTAACGACAACTATTCCAGCAATTGTTAAAAAAATAAGTTGATAGTAAAAAGATGACGACCTCTTCAACTGCAGACGCTACCAGAACATTTTTAACGGTAGAAGACATGACAGCTATTGCTGCAGAAATAAACAAAATTATTATCTGAGCAAAAACAATAGTGATCACCATTCCTGCATGCATTGCCGAAAGTAATCAAAATAATTTTTTAAAAACAAAATGATTGCAACAATTCCTGCAGAAAAAATGCAAAACTTTTTACCTGTACAAATTTGATGATGACAACTACTTTTGCAGACCTAACCAAAACTATTGAACTATAAAAAAAATTATAACGGCTGCTTTTGCTGCAATTAATAGCTAAATTACTAGTCCGAATAAAAATGATAATGTCAACTACTCCAGCAGACATAACCAAAAGTAATAATTGGTACAAAAAATAGGATGACAACTGTTTCGGCAGCCAGTATCACAAAAAACATCAAAGCAAAATGATGAGTTATTATTGCCGCAGAATTAAACGAAGATATTCATATAAGCAAACAATAACCTTCTGTTCAAAAATTATGATGACAACTAGTCCTCTAGACTTTACCAAAAATACAATTCGATCAAGTAATATTGATGACAACTACTACTGCAGACTGTAGCAAAAAAAGCTCATCGGTATAAAACACTGATGCCAATGAGTCCGGCATTATTTATCAAAGATAATAATCTGTGCAAAAAAAGATGATGACAGCTATTCCTGCAAACAATAGTCATAACAATAATCTGCATAAAATGGTAAAAACAACTGCTCCTGCCGACATTAACAAAAAAACTATTCTGTACAAAAATAAATTTGACAAATGATTCCGCCGACATTTCTGAAAAAGTTAATCAGTAAAAAAAACTGATGATGACATTTTTTGCTGTAGAAAAGCACAAAGCTACTTAACTGAACAAAAACATTGATAACAACTAATCTTGCAGACATTACATAAAAAACTAAATTACAAAAATGTTGACGACAACTATTCCAGCAGGCGTTATCGAAAATGCTAGTCTGTGGAAACATTGATGACAATTAATCTTGCAGACACTACCAAAAATATTGATCTCGACTACAATGATAACGAAAACTATTCCTGCAGATATTACCATAACTTACAACCTACAAAAATGATCTATTCCGGCAGGCGCTTTGAAAAAACGAAAATGTGGAAACATTGATGAATTCGTTTCTTGCAGACACAAAATTATTAATCTCGCCTACATTGGAAATGACAGCTATTCATGCAATTGTTTAAAAAAAATTCTTTTTACAAAAAATGATGATGACCTCTACAACTGCAGTTTCTACCAGAATTTTTTAACGGTAGAAGAAATTGTGATGACAGCTATTGCTGCAGAAAAATATTTTTAAATTATCTGAGAAAAATTAATAGTGAACACGATTCCTGCATACATCGCCGAGTGTTATCAAAATCACTATTTTTAAAAACAAGATGATTGCAACAATTCCAGCAGAAAAGTGCAAAATTTTTTACCTGTACAATTTTGATGATGACAAATATTTTTGCAGACCTTACCAAAACTACTTGACTAAAAAAAATATTATGATGACAGCTTTTGCTGCAAGTACTAGCCAAATTACTAGTCCGAAAAAAAGTGATAGTATCAACTACTCCAGCAGAGATAACCAAATCTAATAATCTGTTACCAAAAAGGCTAATCAAAACAAACGGATGATTAACTATTGCCGCAGACATGAACGAAGCTACTCATCTGAACAAACACAATGATAACAACTCTACTTGCACTCATTACTTAAATCCCTAGCCTACAAACATGGTGAAGACAACTATTCCGTTAGACTTTACTGAGTTTACTGATATGGACAATTGATCATGAAGACTAATTCTGCAGCCAAAAAAGATTACTAATCCGTGCAAAATGATTATAATCTTTACTCCTGCAATCATTACTACATAAACTGAATCAGACAAAAACGATTATGATAAATTTTCCAGCAGAGATTATCAAATCTAGTCTTCTGTTAAGGAATTAAGATGACCACAAGTCCTGCTTGTTTTGTTTCAAAATACAAATCTATAGAGTAATGATGATGACAACTTCTCCTGCTGATGTTACCAAAGATAATAACCTGTAGAAAAAAATGATAAAATTTTTTTTGTAGAAATATTTAAAATTACTATTCTGTACAACAAAATTGATGACAATTATTCTTGCAAACAATAGCCAAAGCACTAGTCTGTAACAAAATGGTAACAAAAAACTACTCTTTCAGAACTTATCAAACCTACTTGTCTGTAAAAAGCAATGATCACAAAATTTCCAGCAGACATTACTAAGGTTGCTAATCAGTAAAAAAGTATTGTGACAATTTTTGTGATAGAAACAAAGAAAACTATTTCACTGAACAAAAATTCCTACGACAACACAAATTCCTGCGACATAAACTCCTACGACAACACAAAAACTTTAGCCTACAAAAATGACGACAACAACTATTCCAGCAGGCTTTTTTAAATCTATTAATCTGGATAAGTTTGATCATGACAACATCCTGATGCCAATAAAAGATTTACTAATCTGTGCCAAATGATAGTGACAATTACTCCTGCACTAATTATCAAGTTTACTAATCTATACATGAATGTGATGACAACTTTTCCTGTAGGAATTGACGAAAGTAACTTTTTGTTCAACAATTATGAAGAGAACTAGTCATTATAATCTCTAGAAAAAACTGATGACAAGTATTCTCGCAGAGATTATCAAAAATACTAAACTGTACAGAAAAGATGATAACTTTTCCTGCAAACAAAAACAATAAGAATATTATGTACCAAAATGATAAAAGTAACTGCTCCTGCCGACCTCAACAAAAAAACTAGGCTGAACAAAAGTAAAGATGGCAACTAATCTTGCCAGCTTTTCTGAAATTGCCTATCAGTGCAAAAGTGATAATGACATTTTTTGTAGAAATAAACAAAGTTACTTAACTGAACAAAAACAATGAGAACAACTATTCTTGCAGACATTGCACAAAAAACTAACCTACAAAAAACTAAATTTTTTTGGGATTATAACTTTTGTTGCTGATGAATAAAAAAATCACGGCAACAAAAACTTGTCAGATTAGATTTTGTGACACTGATTGTTGTATACGCACATTCCTTTCTGGCTTTGATGCGGATTCAGTATTCTTATCAGCTTGCTGAAGTAGATTGAGGTCCTATGGCACAGACGATACTTGTGTCAATATAATTATACAATTTTGGGTTCTCTGGGAGCTTTGACTCTGTGCACTTCTTTGAAAAGTCCAAAGAATCAGGGTTACTCCATCGATAAATGAAAGAAATTGGCAAATTTCAATCGACGAATCATCGATGAGCTCCCAAGGTTTTTTTTAACTCAGCGATTGCTAAAATATGGAGATCACCCCAAGGTTGGGGGGGGGGGGGTTATTGCCAAAGTTATCGTTTCAACTTATGAAACAATCAAACAACTCATTTTAAGTATTGAGTCTGCTAGAGGAATCCGTTTTCACATTTCCATGTTAGTTTGATTAAATCTCCGTCCGTGTTCACTTAAGGTGCATCCTTAAATGACATTAATTTTTTAATTCCCTTTAACACCTACACATAGCTGTCAAGCCAGGGATTTTAGAGAGTTGATTAGATGTCAGTTTTTTGAAGTTTAGTTAATTGAATCTTCGCCATCCTTAGCCTATCTGAAGTGAAGATTCGACAAAAGCTTAATTATTTGTTTCCTGCTTTAATTTGCGTCTCTATCACCAGAAGAACATTTTGATTAAAACGAAGATCTCCACTTTAAATTGTATTTTTTCTTATGCCATAACAACGTGGTTGAATATAGAGCTTTCTCGTTTTTTACAGTTTTTTTCTCGTTTAGGGGAGGGTGTGTGGGTATATTTTCAAAAAAAAAAATCAAAAATTTAGTCATATTTTAAAGACCGCTCTTATATATTTGTTCAAAATCCTGCCCATCTACTTCTACAGCAAAAAGCACATCTTCAAGGCCACTGAAGTTGACTGTCACTTTTTGGAAATTTGTGGTGAAATAATTCAATTGAAGCTTGCTTTGATGAGGAGAAAAATCCAAATTTCAATCTACCATTCAATCAAACTACAGAGGGTTTTTGATTAGAGCGTCCAAGGCAGGTTAATTTTTAATAGCAAACCATGCGCTCACAAAGAAAATTTTACACAATTTTCAAACTCAATTATCTAAAAATAAAAAACACCCCCATTTTTCCTATTGGCATATATCATACATTTTTGCTAGATAAATAATGGGACTTTGAAGTGAGCAAATAAGGTGCCTTCTACGTTCTGATTCAGAATCAATCAAAAACAATATTGAAAAATGAGATGGTGAATTTCGGTGTGAGGATAAATGTTCACATGGGTGGTTGATTCGTTCACGCTCAATTGGAATTGAAATTCAACCGATGGCCTCTTACTTGGTCCTTTATTGCGTCCCACGTGCTGTCTCTTCCCGATTAGACTGGAAGGAAACAAACAGGTAAGTCTCAGATTCCATTTGAAGTAATTGGGGGGTTTCGAAGCGAGAATAGAAAAAAATTGCATAGGATTGGCAGTTTTTTGGTCTGACTTTACTAAAACCATTTTTGGACAAAAATACTTACACGCAGAGAAACTAAGAAAAACTGCGACAAAAACGTCAAAAAATGCCGCCAAAAAGTAAGAAGGACATTGTTTTGCTAATTTAAAATACCTGTGATCTGGGCAGAGGTTCTACACTTCATAAAATATCATCAATTTAGCAAAAAGTCAATAAAACTTGCAACATGTGTGTCTTCGGTGTTCTTTTTCGGTTGCCAATATAATATAACTGTCCAAAATCATTCTCATCACTAATCTACTTGTGTGCGAACAATTGATCGTCAATTAGAGCTCGCAATTTGCAAAAAAAATCTATTCAAATTAGTGTTTATCTCAGTAAATAATCCAATTTTGGAAGAAAATGACAAAAAAAATTTGTTCTCGGGACGGTTTTTTTTATCTTCAGGCAAAGTTCGAGTTAATTTTACCGGACTTTTTTATCAGCCGAGAAAATTATTGATGTCTTGAGCATGTCCTGCACAGTTAGTTTTTTTATAAAAAAAAAACATTTTTTTCTACTTTTTTGACCAATTTGCGTCACTTTTGGGGTGGGGCATACGAAGAGAATGTGATCAAAAAGGTTTATCTTATCTGTTGAAACCTAAACAAAAAAGTTAACAAAAAACCATCGTTAACAAAAAAATTATTTTTCATTTTTTCCCACTCCCTATTTTATCCTTCTTCTTTCCAATTATTTTAATTCAAATTACAATAGAGCCTTTTTGTTACTTTTCAATACATGGCGACTATTTTCTTTTGTTTATTCAAATTTCACAACTCTTTCAGACGAGAGTTTTTATCTTTTTTTTTTCAGCCTTGCAGATGACATTTCACCAAATAAATTAACAAAATATGCAGTGGTGCTAGTCTAGCAAAGAAGGGACCATCGTCTTGCTGGCTTAAGTTTAAAAAATGAGAAGAATAGTTCTGAGATTTAAAATCGTTTTATCAGTGTTGTGTTTTATGATGTCACCGTCGCAGAAAGTTTCTGGTTCGAGATTTTTGTTCTTAAAATGGACAGTGGCTTTCTCTTTGTGTCACTGGTTATTTCAAATTACCTAACTTGTTTATTTCTTAGCTGATTAAAATCAAAATGGAATGTATTATTCAAAGTGTTCTGTTCGAAAATATATTGTTTTCGTTTCTTATCTCCATCTGCACAGAGACTGCTTGATTATTTTTACCTTTTCCTAACCGGATCTTCAAAGAGTAATAAAGGAATTTGTGAAAAATTCTTTTTCTTTGATGCCTGAAGACGTTCCCATCAGCGAGTCATTGAGTTTTCCCGCAACCAACTTTAAGCTTAGGTAATTGATTATAACCGAATAATCTATTGACTTTAAAAAAAAATAAAATTGTTATACTAGTTTTTCAGTAAAAGCCTTCTAATTTTGTTACCTTACACAGACGCGGGTTGTACAGTAACTTTTTAAATCATTTCAAAGCGTGAGAAGGAACTATGGCGTAGGAAGGGTTTCTCTCGCTCACTTTTAGGTACGTATTATGTTTGGCAAAAAAAGAGCCAGGGGTGGTCTCATATTGAAGCCATAGTGATTCGGATTCCAAAAAAAAAGAAAACAAAAAGTTGTCTCTCAGTGTCGAGAAAACTGCTCTCAATTAGTCTGTTTTTCAGACTAATTTACATTGAGGAATGCGTGTATATAATCAAATAGCATTGTTATAAGATAGATTCGTATGATCAACAAATATCAACAAGCTATCGTTGATACTTTTGATTATGCAGTTTATGGTTGAATCCTTTATTGAACAACTCAGTATCTACATCGATATGGCTTTGATAGAAAAGTAAAAAGAAACTTAGTTAAGCAAGGAATAACCCGTACCCAGCGAAGGTCGTTTTTCCTGATAGAAATGTTATACAGATTACGGAGCCAATATTTTTTTGTGTTTTCTGTGCAGAAAAGATCTATTTCTTTCTTAGTTTAGAAATAAACAATTTCTCTAAATAAATAACCAGAAATCAGTTAACTTCTCAACCGCAACAAGAAAAACAAGCTTAGTGTATACACAATGCCCTAGCAATGCAATGCAATTTAAACGCTTGTTGCAACAACTGCTGCTTTGAATCAGATTGCTGAAAATATCCAAATTTACCAGGGCAAGTGGTCTAGTGGTTAGCACATCCGCCTACACAATTACAAGGCATGAGTTCGAGCACCAACAGGAGCCTTTTTTTCTAGCTAGAAACAGCCTAGATTTAGCTAATTCCTGATATGAAATAAGATAAGAAATGAAAAATTTTAAGAAAATCCTGTTTTATTAAAACCACAAAAAAATTTTAACCAGAAAATTAGATAAGATATAAAGTATTGCAGAAGAGAAATAAAAAGTTTCTTCGGAACAAGTAGCGTTCAGTTTCAATAAAAGCTTTTTTGTCGCTCCCGTTCCTTTCTGTTCTTAATTTAATTTTTTCAAACTAAATTAAAAGGAAGAAAAAACGAAGATTTGGATGTGAATGTTTTTTTAGTTCTTATTTTTTATTATTTAAGCAACAATCACTTCAATTTTAAAGTTTATTATCTTGTCCAATCACCTCATGCTATCATTTTTGTCAACAAGTAAGAATTGTGCAGCCATCCACGTTGTAAAATTACGATTGCAGTCGATACTAGCTAGTAAAATATACAGTTGTGAAATGGATACCTTCTCATCTCCCCGAATTATGATTTTACAGCTACCAAATAGATTATAATCCACTACATTGTGTGTTTTGGTTAATCGACTCGATAGCTACTAAAATGATTTTTTCGGTGTTGTGGTGCCTACTATCTCCACTTATAGAAAACTTTCAAACACCTTCTATACAGATTGTAAAAAGATTTTATTCACATTATATACAGATCTTTGCAGATTGCTTACATTTCATAAATAGGATATATACTACTGGTAGTGTTGTTGAGTGTCAACTAAAATGGGTACGTATAAGGCATAACTAATGACGTATAAAGTACGTTTTCTAGTTGAATGTAGCTGCATATGTTGAACTGAAAAGTGGCTGTAAAAAAAGTAAAATTTAATGAAAAAATCTTGCTGCAAAAATTAAATTGTTCTAAAATAAATTCTTCGTTTTTGTCACTAATTTATACAAAACTACGCAAAAATGTTGATAAGAGAACTGATTTTTACACTTTTTTCATAAATCTTTTTTTTTCTCGCATCGAGAGTGCTTAGATTGCAAAATTTTAAAAAGATTTTCCGAAACTTATGGTTCGCGGCAAGCAACTCCCTTCAGCTGACTTAAGTTCACTATAGCACTGAAGGAGATTCTTAGTTATTTTTTTTGGCATTTTTGCGGCCATAGTCGTAGCAGGCAATAATTCGTAACAAGTGACAATTCGTAACAGTAGATTAAGCGGGGAACACTGATTCACGCGCAAAATTCCTCTCGTGCCGGATGTAAGCGCAGCTGAGCGAAGCGTATTCTATCTGCCAATGCCTTGTTACTTATTGTCACCTGTTACGAATTGTCGCCTGTTACGAATTGTCGCCCTACCCATATTTTCACCTTATTATGACTGAATTATTTAAAAAAAAAACAGGCCACAACCAAGTTTTTGGTAACTTTTGACCAAAAAAAATAATCTTTCTTTTTTGCGCGCTTTCGTCTTCTAAAAACTCTAGGGTCGATCAGCAACAAATATTGCGAAAACCATGAAGAAATTATACCATAGTGAAATTTTTCTATCACAGCTTTTTTACTATAGCTTTAAAAACAATTGTTTCAAGGATAAGTCGTAACATTTTCATATCTATCGAGATGAAATTTGTAATTGGTCAACTGTAACGTAAATGGTGGCTGTTTTCTAGTCATTGTCAAATTTCCTGACTTTATGATCAAAAATAATATTTCTGTTTACATATATTTCATCATCAAATCAGGAAGATAGAAACAGAGTGCGTATTTAAAGAGGAGTTTGTTTGCGTTTGACTTCATTCCTAGATAGTGACTGATTTTTCTGTTCTTTTTCACGCATTTTGTTTAAACCAGTCGTGAGACTTCCTGTTTTTTTTTGGATATTTCATCTGGTAATTCATTATTAAGTCAATATAAATGGGATGCTGCGGCGCTACTCAACTAGAACAATAAGACTGATCGCTTCAGGGAGCAACAAACAGACCAGCATACTCTGAATATTCAAACTCAGAGAAGCTGAATAATAAATGGAAATTCTGATCTAAATTAAATTTTCCAGGATTCCCTCATTTTTTCCGATTAATCCTGCCCTCTTAATTGACTTTGTAGCTTTGAACCCTCTAAATCTTATATTCACTAAAACTAGCCCTAAACTTATTTAATATCGGCGCCCAATTTTGAAAATTACGACTTGATCTTGTGGTGCACAGACGTTATACTGCCTAACCTGGTTATAGTTATTACAGTTTCCGGCGAATAAGACGACAGCTGTTAAGACGACAAATGCTTTTGGCGGGTTTTTAAGAAACTCCTAAACACTATTTTAAAATCAAATTATCCCATTGTATTTCTGAGATAAATAATTCGCTTCAATTTGATTAGTTCAATTTACATGTTTTAATCCTCATTTGTCGTCTTAATGGCATGTCGTCTTAATGCCGTGTCGTCTTTTTTTCACCTGGCACCAGTTATAATACCAACATGTTTTGGGTCGCTTACCCTGATTTGTCTGTTACCAAGCCAAATGGTGTCCGTTACACAAATTGACTTACTTTATTTTTCAGCTGCAGGTATTTTAACTATGCATGAAACTCTGTTTATTCTGTCGATTTTCGTGACCCCCGCACCTGTTAAAAGTAGCGAGAAGCGAGGCCTTCCCTCTCCAACAAAAAGATAGCAAAAAATATTTTTAAAAAGAACTATAAAATTGTTGCTTGTTGGATTCAGCTATCTCTGAAATAAAA